ATCAGTCTGTCAACAAGGCTGCTAATTTTTTTAATACAGATCTTCAGCTGGATGAAGAGCAACTGGCTGAAGATGAATCTGAATGAGAATGAACTGCTAGTGGGAAGAGTGAAATGGTTTGATGAACTCTTCTCCTCCATAACAATCACTTTTATCAAAGATTTTCTCTGTAATATTGGTCACTGCCTGGGCTTCCCCCTAGACTCAGCATGGTACTAGGATAGCCAAGTAGTTACAGCAGCAAGACACTAACAACCCATCTGTGACTGGCCAGAAAATGGTGCCTAATGAATGCAGACCTCGCCACAGTGATTCACACATTTGTAACATCTGGACTGAACTAATGCAATTCTTGATATCATGGATCTCAGCCTGGGAATTACAACGTCCCTCCTTTTCTTTATGTGGCTAGTGGGAACAGGGTCTTGAAACACTGTCAGGGAGGTAGTGGAACTTTTTTCTAATGTACCATGCAGTCATACTAAAGAAAAGGCCTCATTCCCTTTCTTTACATGCCTATTGGGAACAGGGTCTTGAAACTATGGCAGGGAGATATTGAATTTTTTTTCTATTGTAACACACAGTCACAGAAAAGCAAAGGTTGAGAACCACTGCTCTATATCTGGAAAACAAACTACATGCCCTGGGGCAGTTCCAGCTTGTTCAGAATGCAGCAGCTTGACTATTCATCAGGAACATATGACCCCAACAAACCATTCTCTGGATTGGCTCCCCACTGTATACAGTTCAAAGTCACTGTTCTGATTTTCAGAACCTTGCACAGAACTGATCCTGGCTATCTGAGAGCACATCCCTCCATCCATGACTATGATCCCCTACAACAGCTGAGTTTCACTAGAACGATGATATTGCCAACCAAACGGAATAGGTTTGTGTTTGCAGAAGACAGAACCTGCACAAGAGCTGCATCAGGAATATGGAACTCACTGCCAGATGAAATAAGAATGACCCTTAATACTGCTGTATTCAGGACAAAATGTAAATCCCACCTGTTCGCCCAGTATTTCGCACAATAGTATCCTCATTCTCATAAATTCATTCATTACAAAATAAAATATAAAACCCTGATCCTGCTTCTAGAGGCATTGAAAGGAGGAAGAAAACTCCATCATATTTTAAGCAATTAGATAAGATCAGATCCTACAGTGATGAGCGCCATATAAATACAGTGGAACCCCCATTATCTGATCTAATTGGGATCAGGGTCAGATCGGATAACCAAAAATCTGGATAAAGCGAAAAATGGGCGGTTGGTTTCCCGTTGTCAGCCCCGAGCAGCGGGACCCCCGCTGCTGTCAGCCCCGGGACTGGTGGTTGAATAAATATGGAGAGCTGAATTATGGAGGCTCAATTAAACAAAGTTCTACTGTATCCAGATTGAAAGTTGGGCTTTTAAATTCTATCTTACGTTAATATCTACTTGGCACATCACTAAGTTGGCTCTAATATTAATGATCTCCAAAGAAGCAGCATTCAGTTAGCTTCTTATACTCTTTCCTTCCTGCCTCCATTCACTCACCCTCAGTTCTCACTTGAAATCTCAGGTGTGGGGTCAAATTAATGATATGGATACTTGTGAGGGGTGAGTACCCCACACAGGCCCTGAATGAGTTAATGTGGGCCTGAGAGGCCAATTATGTTACCGGCTGCACTTGGAGTCAGAGCCAGGCTTAACTGACGATGAAGCTCAGCTGGGCAGGAGCAGGCTGGTTAGTATAAAGAGACAAAGTCTGTAGCAGAAGAGGGGCTGCAGGGGAGTGTCTGCAGTGACTCGCTGGGAACAGAGAGGTTGTCAGGAGGAAACCCAAGGGGAAGAATAAGTCCTGGGACCCTACCCTGACTGGAGAAGGCTGGCAAACAGCCACGGAAACATAAAGCAGCTACTGGGGTGCAGCAGGCCTCGTGGTGAGCCCTGAAAGAAGGGAATAATTTGGACTGCCAGAGACAGAGAGACCTGGAAGATGTTCTGTGGAGGAACAGAGTAAAGGGAACTTAAGAAGTTTGAAAGGGCAAGCCTGAGAAAGATTGGGTAAGAAGGAGCCAAGGGAAATAGCAGAAAGGAGAAGGACTGCACGGACCTTGGCTGCTGGTTATAGGTTCCCTGGGCTGAAATCTGGCGTAGTGTATGGGCCCACTGGGAAGGTAGCCTGAGTCCAGAGAATGGGACTAGAACACTGGAAAGCCCTAAGGCAAGGGTGTGAAGACCAGGGGCCTGGAGATGGGGAGGCTCAAGAAATCGGACTGTTTTATGGTGGGTTTCTGTTATCTTGAAAGGGGCAACTAAATCATGACCTGGTCAGAAGGCCAAATTACAGGGAGAAACATCACTGCAGCAACGGAGCAAGCATCAGCATATGGTGCCATGCAGGGGAGAGAGATGCTATGCCACAACTACCCAGATGGAGGTTCTTTTGCTGCGTGACCTTCCTTTGCAATGCTCAACTGATCAATATCAGCAGAAATGGAATCCAGTAATTCTACCCACAGGTAAGGAATGAAAGAAATTGCTGCAGTAGGCGAGAGAGAAGTTTTAAGTCAGCCATGGATTATTCAAACTACATGCACACTTCTGACTAAGGAGTAGGTGAGGACACGTCCAAGGTCATGAAAAAAAATCTTTCCTTTGTGCCAATCCCATCCTTACTGACATATATCACTATTACACAACAGGTCCAGACAAGCAAAATTAGACAGAGCAAAACATGAACACACATTTATCTACTGCACAATATATTTTCTATTAGGAAGAAATGTATGCATTGAAATTTGCCCACACTGAATAAAAAATAATTCACTTTTGAGCTCAGTTGTTCATTGGCCTCTTTTGAACAAAGACGCTTTGCCAAATTGTGCATGGTAATGTTGCAGGGTGGAGTTATGCCTGAAGGAATTAAACTCAGACAACTCTGTTCAGTTCATCTGATGCTTAAACAATATTTGTTTACAGTTTTTCCAGTGGTAAATGAACAGGACTATGAACTAATGCATTATTCTAATTCACCCAATCCACTAGCTACTTGAAGGTTTCATCAAAGATGCATATAACCAACCAAGCCGGAGTTCACTCACATTCATATAGTGAGATAATATTGTGTAAAAATGGCTTTAGGCATTACAACTTTTGATCTAAATCCAAACTACAGCATTAGGCATACAGCAAATGTCAAGTATACTATACGCACATTTGAGAAAAGGCAAGTAACTGTGCTACAAAGACAGGTTATGACTGACAGTGGCATATATTAACAGCCCTTGCTCGGCCACGGAAACACTGGGGAGCAAAGCCCTTTTACTCCCCTGTCCAGATTGTATTCCAGCCTTGGGGGAGGGAAAGCAGAGTCTACTTGCAAGATACTAATCCCCGAGAGCAAGTGGGTGGGGAGTGGAAAGGACCACAAATGAGAAAAGCCCTGTCTCTTCTGTCCCAACTCATTTTTGAGAACTGTTGCACCTCCCTACTGTAGAGACTTTGATGCTTTCAGACACTGATTTTTCTTGATGTGAATAGTTTTCCTAATTTGTGTTGTGATTATAAAAACAGTTAGGTTACAAACCACTATTTAGCAGTAATCATGCTAATAAAGATCAACATCTAAGCACGCGTAAGTCTATTCAGTATAGCATCAGGACAGTTTTCATAAGTCTTTGCCCAAACAAATTTACAGATGCCACATATCTTTCAATTTCTGGTATCTTAATATCCAATTATATTCATTTATACATATCAGAACACAAATCCCCCCACACAACTTTCCACTTATCTCTATTCAAGTATGCTTGTAGTACAAACTACTATTCAACAGCAGTCCCACCAATCACATAAATTATATAGAAAGGAATATCATATTTCACAAGAAAGCTAACAGCATGAAGCTTTGGAACACACAGGTGTGGAGAAGAGCAGGTGCACATCCCAGCACTGAACAACAGGTTGTTTAGCAGACATTCCTTAGCTGAAAGAACTACAATGCTCTCTATTCTGGACTAAGTGTGTTTGGGAGGGAAAGTTCAAAGGTGATAACTCTCAGAGTGGTAATTTTAAGAATGTCTATTTTGTTCCCAGACCTCCTATAGTAAATACCTTTTTGACAGATAAAGTCAATTGACCTTTGCTTTACAGAAATCCCTTGAACACTGCCTTCAAAGCTTTAACATTTTCTCTTGGGAGGTTTATTGCACTGTGAAATCTGTTTTTACCAAATATACAGAGATACAACTAGTTTTTAGAGGCAGAATTCTTCATGTCAACCACATATGGACAAATAAAATTGATATTACACATCAACATGTTCATCAAGTTTACCATCTCCGGGAAGGTAAGTGGAACATATATAAGAACTTCAAATGGCCCTCTACTGCTGGTTCTAGTCATTGAAATACACTTAAAACTGTGCTTCTAATAACCACACTGTTCATAAAACCTTAATTTCACTGAACAAACACATTTATATCACAGGAATAAAGAACAATTGTTCTACAGACGACTACTTTATTTTAGAGCCAGTATTGGGGAAAAAACAAATGTCAATTTAACTATAGGTTTGTGCAACCATTTATATAATAAACCATACATTCTGATTGTTTGAGGACGTGTAAACATTAACCACAGTTGTTTAAATCATTGTTGTAAATTCTCCTTTGTAGTTTTTCATATTACATAGCGTGCTACATTAAAAAGTGTTCTAGTTTAAATGACATTCTATTCTAATACTGGTTTGGAGAAACCTTTCTAACCTATCTGAAACTAGTATATTACTGTCAAAAGGTTTGGTTTGCCTAACAGCAAACAAGCATAAGAAAAAAATTCAAAGTAACTATTACATACAAGGCTCTAGCTAAAGGAAAACTGCATGTTGAGAATGCTTAGCCACCACCAGCCCAGTGAAATTTTCCCATCCTTTTAAAGAAATGTATCCAGCCACACAGTTTTATGGTTTGGGGTGGTTTTCTTGTTTTTTTTTAATGAAAGTAGTACTCACACTATTTGGGTGCTGAATGGCAGCTTCATGCTGCAGTCTCACCCTCTGTGGCATCATCACATCATCCTGTAATAAATAGCACACTGTTACTGAACAGAAAAAGGGTCACAGTACAGTACTCAACACACACTAGAATATGTTGTTAGGTTAATAATCATTTCACTGGCCTGCAAACAAAGCCTTTTTAAAAATACAAAGGCACCAAATATTAAAACCACTTTGACCATTGTTTGGTTTCCTTTAAAATGGACTATAACATAGAGATAAAAGGTATTTTAAAAGGAACCTAATAAAATTTTGCAGAATTAAAAATTAGTTGTTAGGCATTATCCCTCTCTTGGGGGTCTCTAGGAACACGCTTGAGTGAAGATCCTCTATCTGCCACCCCCTCCGGAGCATTTAGACCATTCAGCCCACTAACCAGCCCCTCCAAACAGTGCTGAGCTCTCAGACTCCAGCCACAGGTTAAACACACCATTACCCAGAACACTACCTGAAGGTGTCTGTCTTCTGGTTTACCTCTTCAAGGGGCACATGGTATAATGCATTAAATGCACAGACACTTTGCATAGGATTCTAGCACACTAATGCTCTTTACTTAAGCATGAGAAATACAAAGAGTACAGATGGTATAGGAAAAAAAAACAAATATCCTAAATGCAATGCCCCTCACTCAAGTCTAGCTCATCCATCCATTGGGAATCCTTGGGGGAAGTAATCTGTGTTCAGGTATGCAGATATTCTCCCCTGCCTCATCAGGCTCTGGCAGCAGCTTCCCTTAGAACAGCGGTTCTCAAACTGTGGGTCAGGAGCCCAAAGGGGGTTGCGACAGATCACCGGAGCTGGCTTAGACCTGCTGGAGCCCAAAGCCAAAGTCCAAACCCCGCCGCCTGGGGCCAAAGCCTGAGCCCCACCGCCCTGAGGGCTTCAGCCCTGGTTGGTGGGGCTCAGGTTACAGGCCCCCTGCTTGGGTCTGAAGCCTTTTGGGCTTCGGCTTTGGCCCCCCAGCTCAGAGCGGTGTAACTTAGGCTTTGCCCCCCACTTCCCCCAGCTCAGGGCGGTGTAGCTCAGGCTTTGCCCCCCTCTCCCTCCGGGGCAGCGGTGCTCAGGCAAGCACAGGCTTCGGTCCCTCCTCCTGGGGTCATGTAGTAATTTCTGTTGTCAGAAGGGGGTCACAGTGCAATGATGTTCGAGAACCCCTGTCTTAGAGAGAGCCAGTGAAAGTGGCTGAAGACCTAGTTCTTCAGAGGGTGGGGAGCTCACCCAGTCTAGGACATTTGTAGTTGAATAGAGGACTATCCCTAGTTAATGAGTCTCTTTGGAATTTTAGTCCAATATGGAGGCAAAGAGACCTCAGAGAGGCAGTTAGCTCCCTCATTCAAAATGGAGTTTGCATCTTGGTAAAGATACATACAGAGTTCACAGTCTCACACAGAATTCATAAGTGGTATACACAAATCTCCCAAATTCCCACAAGACCTCTAAAGGTACAGAACAAGGAGTTATAATGTTCACTGTTTTGTGAAGTCAGAGAAATAACCTGAATAAAATTTGTCTATGGTACCTGTAGTCTAAAGTTCCCTGGTTATTCGTTTGGAACAAGGAGTCCGGTGGCACCTTAAAGACTAACAGATTTATTTGCACATAAGCTTTCATGGCTAGAACCCACTTCAAAGGATGCATGGAGTGAAAATTACAAATGTAGGAGTTATTATACTGACACATGAAGAGAAGCGAATTACCTCACAAGTAGAGAACCAGTGTTGACAGGGCCAATTCGATCAGGGTGGATGTAGTCCACTCCCAATAATAGATGTGGAGGTGTCAATTCCAGGAGAGGCAGAGATGCTTTAGTAATGAGCCAGCCACTCCCAGTCCCTATTCAGGCCCAAATTAATGGTGTTAAATTTGCAAATGAATTTTAGTTCTGCTGTTTGTCTTTGAAGTCTGTTTCTGAAGTTTTTTGTTCAAGTATAGCTACTTGTCAATCTGTTATAGAATGTCCAGGAAGATTGAAGTGTTCTCCTACTGGCTTTTGTATGTTACCATTCCTGATGTCCGATTTGTGTCCATTTATTCTTTTACGTAGAGACTGTCCGGTTTGGCCAATGTACAGGGCAGAGGGGCATTGCTGGCACATGATGGCATATATAACATGAGTAGATTTGCAAGTGAATGAGCCTCTGATGGTATGGCTGATGTGGTTGGGTCCTCTGATGGTGTCGCTAGAGTAGATATGGGGACAGAGTAGGCAACGAGGTTTGCTACAGGGATTGATTCCTGGGTTAGTGTTTCTGTGGTGTGGTGCGTAGTTGCTGGTGAGTATTTGCTTCAGGTTGGGGGGCTGTCTGTAAGCGAGGACTGGCCTGCCTCCCAGCGAGGATTGGCCTGCAGCCCAAGGTCCGTGAGAGTGAGGGATCATTTTCTAGGATCGGTTGTAGGTGGTTGATAATGTGGTCGAGAGGTTTTAGCTGGGGGCTGTACGTGATGGCCAGTGGTGTTCTGTTATTTTACTTGTTGGGCCTGTCCCGTAGAAGGTGATTTCTGGGTACCCGTCTCGCTCTGTCAATCTGTTTCTTCACTTCAACAGGTGGGTATTGTAGTTTTAAGAATGTTTGATAAAGATCTCGTAGGTGTTTGTCTGAAGGATTGGAGAAAATTCGGTTGTATCTTAGGGCTTGGCTGTAGATAATGGATCGTGTGATGTGTCCTGGATGGAAGCTGGAGACATGTAGGTAAGTACAGCGGTCAGAAGGTTTCCAGTATAGGGTGTTGTTTATGTGACCATCACTTATTTGCACTGTAGTGTCCAAGAAGTGGATCTCTTGTGTGGACTGGTCCAGGCTGAGGTTGATGGTGGGGTGGAAGGTGGAATTCTTCAAGGGCCTCCTTTCCGTGGGTCCATATGATGAAGATGTCATCAATGTAGTGCAAGTAGCGGAGGGGCACTAGGTGACGAGAGCTAAAGAAGCGTCGTTCTAAGTCAACCATAAAAATGTTGGCATACTGTGGGGCCATGCGGGTACCCATAGCAGTGTCCCCAAATCTGAAATGGTTGTCGGTGAGGACAGTCACAAAGTTCAGCCACCAGGTGTGCCATGGCCTCATCAGCGATACGGTTCCCGACAGCTTGTAGTCCATCTTAGTGTGGAATATTGGTGTAAAGAGCTTCTGCATCATGGTGGCCAGGATGGTGTTTTCAGGAAGATCATCAGTGCATTGTAGTTTCCTCAGGAAGTCTGTGGTGTCTTGAAGATAGCTAGGAGTGCTGGTAGCACAGGGTCTGAGGAGAGAGTCCAAATAGCCAGATAATCTTGCTGTAAGAGTGCTGATGCTTAAGATGATGGGGCGTCCAGGGTTTCCAGGTTTATGGAACTTGGGTAGCAGATAGAATACCCCTATGGTCGGGGCTCTGGGGGTGTGTCCATGTAGATTTGTTCCCGTGCTGTAGCAGGGAGTTTCTTGAATAGCTGGTGTAGTTTCTTTTGGTACTCCTCAGTGGGATCAGAGGATAGTGGCCTGTAGGATGTGATGTTGGAGAGTTGCCTGGCAGCCTCCTGTTCATAATCCGACCTGTTCATTATGACTATAGCACCTCCTTTGATTATAATGTCAGAGTTGTTTCTGAGGCTGTGGATAGCATTGCGTTCTGTACAGCTGAGTTTATGGGGCAAGTGATGCTGTTTGTTCAAAATTTCAGGCTGTGCATGTCTGCGGAAGCACTCTATGTAGAAGTCCAGTCTGTCATTTCAACCACCAGGAGGAGTCCACGCAAAATTCTTCCTCCTGTAGTGTTGGCAGGAGGATTCCTGTGGGTCAGTGCACGGTTCAGTGGTGTGTTGAAAATATTCCTTGAGTCGGAGACGATGAAAGTAGGCTTCATTCATTTGCACATTTACTCTGCTATTTTTAAGTAGATTTTTGAGGGGTGACAAGCCTTGTAATTGAAGATTGTACACTAGGTGCACAGTATGACAGGGATCATGACACATATGTATAAAATAAAGCCATGTATAGAAGAGTTCCTCAACTCCACAGGCTAACAACAAATAAAGTAGATATTGGGGTGGGAAGGGGTGGGGCTGGGGCGGGGCCAGAGCAGGGGGCGGGGCCAGAGCAGGGGGCGGGAAGAGGCCAGGCGGGGGCGAAGCAGGGGCAGGAAGAGGTGGGGTGGGGGTGGAGCAGGGGCAAGAGGCGGAGCAGGGCCTGGAGCAGCACACAGCTGCATAGAGCACCAGGAAATTTGGTGCCCCAAATTTCCTGGTGCCCTATGCAGCTGCGTATTTCGTGTATGGGTAGGGACATCCCTGAATAAATGCCTAGGACAAATTCTGGCTCTAAAGCTCTGACCAGGAGGGAATTCCAGAATGCAGCAGTGGTGTCCATCCTGGCTCCCACAAAACAAACAGAACTGACACTCCACAGGCCTGTCCAGGAGTGCTCTGTGTGGTAGGCAACTATTTTGCAATTGGTGGTTTTGTTTGTTTAATTTTTTGAAATCAATATTATCAAACTTTTCAAACCTTTATAAAGTTTATTAGCAAACCCAACTCAGCCTTCTTTTGAAACAAGCTTTTTGAAAACATTCCTTTCAACTCCCACAATCAGCTTAGTAAGCAGGTATACTAGGAATATTTGTACAATAGATAGCTACAGTAGACAGCCAGATATATGGAGAGTAGCATCAAACAGTCTAGAGCCCATGCAGAAAACAGCAATATCAAATGCCCATGGTTTACAAGAATCCATGAATAAAAGTAAAATGCTGCCTTCCTGCTTAACCAGTGAGGTGACCGAGCTGCTGATGTCACTCCATGGTAGAGGCAATGAGGAGGGGAAAGGCTAAATTATCACTGTGTGTTACTAAAAAATAGCAATCACCAGACCTGGAGGGGGTCTGGTGAGTACACAAGCCTCTTGACCTTTGGTTTCATGATTTGAAGACAACAGAACCCCTTGTTAAAACTGTAGTCCGATGACGCATAGGAGCTTGGGTTTTTTTTTTCATTTTTTATATATAACGCATGCACCTGTCAGTCTTTGTAAAAAAAAATACAAAACCCATT